GCCCTGTGTCCCCCTGCAGCCCTGCTCCCCCTGCAGCCCTGTGTCCCCGCTGCAGCCCTGTGTCCCCCTGCAGCCCTGCTCCCCCCTGCAGCCCTGCTCCCCCCTGCAGCCCTGTGTCCCCCTTGCAGCCCTGTGTCCCCCCTGCAGCCCTGCTCCCCCTGCAGCCCTGCTCCCCTTTGCAGGCCTGCGCCCCACCTGCAGTGCACATCCGAGGGGAACTCGGATTCTGCGTGCACCTCCTGGTCCAGCTTCTCAGCCTGAACCACATGGTCTCCCTAGTTTATCTCACTACCCAAAGGCCCTGCACCCTGCCTTTTTGGGGGAATCTGCCTCCATTTCAAGGACCTTTTCATATCCAGGCCAAGCAAACCTACCATTCAACACCTGACACCTGACACCTGGGAGCCGGGCTCCCACAGAGACAGGTGATCGCACAGCACAGGGCGTGGGAGAAGGCTGGGCTCGCACACGACACTGGGCAGAGAAGTGAATGCGTGGTGGGACCCAGGGGCCAAGGGCAGGGGTCCCAGAAGCGGAGAGGAAACTGAGGGTGTGATGTGGCCCTGCCTCTACACCCAGGCCCAGAGGGCGGAGCCAGGTGGGGGAAATGAGGGGTTGAGTGGACCCCACTTCAGGGCTTCCTGTGGTGATCCAGACCATCCCCCCCGACCCTGCCAACCGGGCAGACCCCAAGATGACCCCCGACCCCTGACCCTGGCCACCCCCAACCCCACTCACCAGCGTGTGCCGCTTCATGTGCTCCCGCCGGGTGAACTTCTTCCCGCAGATCTCGCAGGGGTAGGGCCGCTCGCCTGTGTGGGAACGCATGTGGCGCTTGAGGATGCACTGGTGCATGGCCGAGAAGCTGCAGTACGGGCACTTGAACTTCTTCCTGATGACCGTGAACTCGTTGACTGGAAGACAGCACAGAGGGCATCACCAGCGGCCCTGGAGCCTGCCCTGCACAGACTGTCCCCCGAGGCCCCGCCCCCACTAGGCACAGGTGTCCCAGGTGCCTGACAGCTGGGCAGAGGCCAGAGGCAACCATGTCCACTCTCAGACACGTCAGTGTCTAAAACACTGCTGTCCACACGTGTAGGCCCAGCAGAAACAGCACCACACAGGAGCCCGAGCACAGCCAGGGTCCAGCGCCCGCTCCACCCTGGGGGCATCTGAGGGAGGTGCTGCCTGGTGACAGCCATGAGGCGTCCAGTGGACACAGCCGAGCAAGAGGAGGAGGAGGCTTGTCCCGTGCTAACTCCCCAACTTCAACAAGCCGCGCCGAGGCCCCACGGTCACCCAGGGTCAGCTGCACACCAGGACGCAGCCCTGCCCTCAGCATCTCATCCCACACTCCTGGGGGTCTCTTGGCCCCCCTGGGCACGGGGGCAGCCCAGACACTACAGTCACCCCCTCTTGAGCCAACAGGGAGTCCTCCCAGTACCCCAGAAACCCAAAGGCCTCCCGGGTTCCTCTGGGTTCCCCAAGTAGCCCAAGTCCCGCGGCTGCCTTTTCTCCTGAGCGAGGAGACGGTGGTGGACACATGTCCCTGGCGTCTGGAGCGGCTTCCCAGGCCCTCAGCCGGCATCCACACCCAGAGGACAGACCAAGGGTCAAGAGCACTGGGCGTAGCCAGAGGGGCTGCTGGAAGCCCACCCAGGACGGGGTCAGCCTGTCAGGGCAGTGGCTCCTGCTGCACCTTCAGACCCCTTGCAGACGTCCCTGTGGAGGCACTGAGAGGGGGGCAGACATGAGGACAAATGCCACAGAGTCACAGCCCAGGACAGCAAGGCAGGGTGGAGCCGAGGGGACCCACAGCCCTGGACCTTCCCGAGAGGGGGAGCCGGCCAGCGGCTGGAAGACTGACCAGGTGGTTTCCATGAGCCCACACCCCCACCCCTGAGTCACCCACCACGTCACAGAGGCAGGGACCCGCACCACCACCTCTGGGAAGTGTGCCCAAGGCTCCCAGCTCCTTTCTGCTGGGAAATGGTGCCAACTGGACGGTGCAGAGCAGGGACCCCAAGCACAGTGGTCCTCACTTGGCAGCCCATTTCTGAAACGTGTCTGCGTAAATGGAGGGGGAACCTGAGTGCAGCGTTCTAATTTGTTTCTTAAAGAAGCATCTATTTTCTCCCAGGAGCTCTCAAAGGGTGTCTAAATAATCCAGCAACCAGATTCCTGGGTTTTCCGGTACGAGACAGTGAGACCGTCTGCCAGGGGCCCGGCCACGCACCCACCCAGGAGCTCTCTGCTCTGGGGTCTCCCGCACCCACGACAGTCAGTGCACACCAGGGACAGGCCTTCTAGGACAGCAGTGCCATGCCCGGTCAGGTAGCCACCATTCTGCCTCACCTTCGAGCTATTACTGTCAGGTATTACACGCCTACTTGTGTTAAAAGCCCCACAGGAAACTGTAAACATTACTCTAAACGTCAGGACCATTTCTATTGGTCACAAGGTCACTCCTGGTGTCCTATTGCTCCCTTCAGTCTGTGCTTCTGTCCAGGGCACATTCCTTTGGCTACAGGCTGTTGGTGCGTCTTGTCAGCTGGCCAAGCATTCTCTCACTTTGTTTGTTTGTACCATAATGTCTTCAGCCTTGATTTCTGAAGGACATTTTTGCTGAGTATAGAATTCTAAGTTGGCAACGTTTTTGCAGCCCTTCAATGATGCTACCCATTGTCTCGAGCTTCTGTAGTTTCTATTAAAAAGTGGGCCATCAGTCTGTTCCCTTGAAAGAAACGTCTTTATTCTCTGACTGCTTTTACGATTTTTCTTTTTGTCTTTGGTTTTCAATAGTTTGACTATAATGTGCCCAGATATTGTTTTTCTGTTGCTATTATTTTATTTTGGTCTTCATTCTGCTTTGAGTATACGCTTCTTGAAACTGTGTATTGATGTCTTTTATCAGTTTTGGAAAATTCTCAGCTACTGTCTCAGCTTCTGATTCTGCTTCGGCCCCATGTCTTCTCTGGAACTCCAGCTACAGACATATTACAAACCCTCACTGTGCCATGCTTCTCTTTGCGTTTTTCTCATTCTTTTCTTCGCTCCTGACTTTGGGTGTGGATATTTTCCACTGCTCTGTCTTCCAGCTCACTAACCCTACCTCGTGTTGTCTCAGGTGTTGTATTTCAGTTCCAGAATGTTCACTTCCTTCTTTTGTATAGATCCCAATCCTCTTGAAATCCTCCATCTTTTAATCTGTTTTGTGCACCATCTCCTTGAGTGTGTTGGTAAGGGGTACCTTTCAGGGCTGTCTGATAACACAGTCTGCTTTTCCTGGTGGGGTTGGTCACATGACTCTGTTACTTAGCATACACTGCCATTTTCTTGTGCAAAACACTGCTCCTCTTGGCTCAACCTGTTTCGTGCTTCAACATTTGAGAATTTGCTTGAGAAAACTCTGCAGTGCTAATATACTAGTAGCTTGTCCCTCACAACCACCTGCTTCAAGTCCTACCTGTGCTGGTAGCTCCCCAGGTGTGCATGGTGGGGTTTTGCCTGGAGGGTAAGCCCAGGGAATGCTAGTCATAGTTGAAGCTGGAGGCTTAAATATTTTTCTTTAAAATAATGTGTTTTCTTTGGCACCTTAGTTTGTGAAGTTGCCAAACTGACAGTGATCAAAACTGAATTATTTACTTTAAATGCAGTTGAAATTGGTAAGTTAACACGCCCAAGAGTGTGGGGGAGTCTTCATTCCCACCCTCCCACACACACATGACGTGGGCGAGGCCACCCACCCACATTTTGTGGCAAAGAAAAATACGCTGAGAAGCCCCAAATGAATGTAAACATGAAGCAAGTCTCTGGCAGCGAGTTGGCCTGAATAAAGGATTAACCCTTCATTATTGAAATTCTCTAATAAAGAGCAGTGTTACATTTTGATAATTTAAAAAAACCACTCTTGCCCTGGCTGGTGTTCCCAGTGGTCAGAGCCCAGCCTGTGCACCAAGGGTGGCAGATTCTATCCCAGCCCCTCGGGGCGCACGCAGGAGCCAACCAACTAATGTCTCTCTCACATCAGTGTTTCTCTCTCTCTCTCTCTCTCTCTCTCTCTCTCCTTCCCTCCCTTCTAAAAATCAATGGGAAAATATCCGCAGGTGAGGATTAAAAAATAAAAACCTCTTGAAATCAACCTGCATATCAGTGTTTCAATGAGAAATTCAATAACAGATGAAGTACCTAAATGAACCCACTGAGAAACCCACATGTTGCTGAAACCGGTTTGGCTCGGTGGATAGAGCGTCGGCCTGCGGACTGAAAGGTCCCGGGTTCGATTCCGGTCAAGGGCATGTACCTGGGTTGCGGGCACATCCCCAGTAGGAGATGTGCAGGAGGCAGCTGATCGATGTTTCTCTCTCATCGATGTTTCTAACTCTCTATCTCTCTCCCTTCCTCTCTGTAAAAAATCAATAAAATATATTTTAAAAAAAAAAAAAAGAGAAACCCACATGTTGGATGACTGTACAGTTTCAAGGAAAATAAAGTTAAATATTCGAATGAAATCAAACAGCTATTGATACTAAAAATGTTTCCTACACCCTCGTTATTGTGCCGTCCCCCACAGACCTGTTTCTTCTAGGTACAATAAACCTCCCTTGAAATTTTCTAAGTGTTTTAAAAATGGAACCAAAGCCCTTTAGCCCAATAGCACAGACACACCCTCCACAACGCAGGTCTCCTCATGGCCCCGTCCACGCACCATCTGCCCAGGAAAACGTTCCCCAAGTGAGCGGGTAAAAGCAGCCGCAGGTCCACGCCACGCAGTCAACAGCGTGATAATGGGGTGGCCCAGAGCCGGCATCCCACAGGCTCCTCCTGCCACCAAGGCTCGTGGCGAGACCCTCATGACGAGGAGGAAAAGGTGGTCTCTAGAAGGGGCGTGCGGAGGCAGACGAGCACTGACAAAAGAGTGAGGGGCAAGGGCTGCCTGACCCATCCTTCAGCTCCTGGAGACACCGCTCAGTCAGTTGCCTTAGCAACAACATAGTAAGCCTCTCTGAAAAGCCAACCAACCTCTCTGTGGTCAGGACTCATCTGATGCAGGTAAAGGGCAGCATCTGGGGCAGGCAGAGGCCTTCAGGTGGGCCAGCCCAAGGGGGGGCTGCCCCTCAGAAGGGTGGGGTCACACTTCTCCCTGGAAGTCTGCCCTCTCCAGCTGGAACACGCTCCAGAACCTGGCGGGGCCACCTGCTTCTCTCCTCCCCTGGGTCCTGGAGCCCACCGCCCTGCGGAGAAGCAGATGTGAGAACCAACGGCCAAGGAGGGGACAGCGGCAAGCCCAGGGCGCTCTGTCTCAAGAGCCGTCGGGTGATTCTCCGCCCAGGGTGTGTCCTTCACACCCGGAGAGAAATGCCATGGGGCACACATTGAGGGCACGGTGCTGGGCTTTGTCCTCAGCTCTTTCTAGAAAGTACCAGGTCTCCCCCGCTGCCTGCAGGGATTGGAGGAGCGAGCCTTTGCAGGCACAGGCAGCGAGTCCCAGGTCCCAGCAGCGCCCAGAGACCTGTCCAGGCCTGGCGCAGCGGAGCGCAGGCGGCATCTGCTCCGCATGGAGGAGCCCAGCTTCCCGGGGGTTTCCTTGCCAGGCCGATGGGAGCCGCACAGCCATCAGCCTGCAGGAAGGACCCGCGTCCCGCACAGGAGGTGGCCTGGGAGCCCAGCCAGGCGCTGGCCGCAGTCCAGCCCAGAGGAGGCTCACGCTCAGCGGCTCCAGGTCCGAGAGGCGTGGGCCCACGAGAGGCAGACCGGGTCCCCGCTGTGGGCTCCCAGGACAGCAAGGAGCCTGTGGAGCACGTGCGTCTGTCACCGACTCACCGCCCCGTCCGTCTCCACAGGAGGGCCTGTCACTCATCTGAGGCCACAATTAACACTCAATGAAGGGCACTCAGAGGAGAACCCATGTCAA